AGCAATGCAACGCTGCCCCAAGAGGTGACGGGGGTTCATTGAACTCGAAAACAGAGGAGCAGGCAGCAGAGATGCCAGCCAGCCTATTTTCCAAAAGGATAAACAGAGGTGAGAGAAGAAAAACCTAGGAAAAACCTATATGATCTGGTAATATTTTTAAAATAAAATAAAATAATACATTTTGTATAGTTTAACACATGGAAAATATTTGTAACATTAAAATTAAATTGGTAAATTTTTAAATTGTAAATAAATGAAAAAAGCTAGATTAATAATTCCTAACTGTTTTACTACTGGTTATTATTTGTTTAACCATTCATAACTATTTCTATACCTGAAATAATATAAATCAAAAATGGTTTCAGTTTCAGATTAAAGATTTGATATTTGAAATATCTGGTTTCAGTTTCAGAACTCAGTTTCCAAGATTGAATTGCTGCTAAAAGGACAGATCTGGCGGGAAAACATCCAGTCGGACATCACTGACTTGGGGAGTCTGGGGGAGAACGATCTTCGGTCTTTGGGATAGGACAACGACAACTGTGCGCCTGCAGTGGTGCCTGTGTGTATCTGTGTGAGCGGCCAAGGAGTTTTTCCTGCTTTTCTTGTCGCATCCTACAGAAAGCAGAAAACTGAAGACTGAAAACTGAAAACAGGGAGAGATCGGCTTTATTATTACAGCTATTTGGGCGGCGGCAGCAGGAAGGCAGGAAGGAAGCGGCGACGTCGATGATGGGTCTTATAATCCTCCGCGCGTTCTCAGCTGCATTTGCCGCGATGCTGGTATTTTCCAAGTAAAAATAGAAAATAGATAAAAATGCAATTTGCTCGTTGCGGTGTGTGTGTGTGTGTATCTGTCGGCAATTTGTGGATAGACAAAGGAACAGGAATTCGCTCCAAAGAGCATTCTCCTTACCTGACTGACTGACTGACTCTTTTGCATAAAAATAGAGGCGGAAAATATCGAAGATCGTTTCTATTTTTGGGGCAGATCGTGTGATTGGCATCCTAATGGTAAATTAATTGAAAAAGATTTTCTTCGTTCCCTTCTTGAATACCGAATCCCGAATCCCGATCAATTTATCACTGACGCTTCATTGAGCGCACACAGAAAAGTTCCCGAGCCTCAAAAGTTAAGTGATTGCCGGGGATCGTTCAATTGATTTATTGTTGACCATGTGGGAACTTTCAATCTGCGGCAATTGTCCTGCCAGAAGGAGCTGCCTGCAATCTGCGGGCTGCTTATGGAAATCGTAATGAAGATTGACAAACCCCTGGACTGCCATGCAGGAGTACACAAATAGCAGCGCCGAAGTTACCCCAAAAACAGGGGAAGGTCACCCAGCCATCGCAACCCCCGGCAAGGACCCACATAAAGCCTTAAGTGCCCCGATTCGGCGGCCGAAAATAGACCGCCTGCATTCGACCAGAAGGAGCTACCGATCACACACCCCCACGCACCAGGGGTTAAGTAAAGGATGCACTTGGAAAAATGCCCAGGATAATTCTTATAGATATTTGTTTAGTTTGAAAAAGCAAAAACTTATTATAACAATTATTTTAATTACCACCTGCTTATTAAATGCAAAATTAATTTATTAACCTAAACTTCTAATCTCTAAAGAAATCTTTGTATAAAAAATTCACCCTCCTAATATTTATTTACAAAACATTTCTTAAATACACCACAACTTTCTCCGAGTGCCGCGGTAATCTCTTCAACCCCTGGACTCTGTTTATGTTTGGTAACCGCTTAACAGATTTTTATCTAAGCAGCGCACAAATTACTCAACACCAACTAGAGTTGGGATTGAGATTCGGATTCGGGATTCCTGCGGGATCAAGTTCCTTGTGTTCCTTGAAAAAAGGGCGTTGGCGTGGGCGTGTCCTGTTTGCTATTCCAGGAACACACGCGTATCGCAGCACGCACATCTCGAGGATCATCAGCATTCGGTCCACGTGAGTGGCGAGCGTCCTTTTCTAACCTCATCAGCCTCATTGTCTTTATTTTGTTTTATTTCATTGACTTTCAGGCTTTCTGCCCTTTCTTTCCTGGGCATAGGATGTACCCTATCTGCAGGCCCTTTTCCCATCTTCTTTCCCTTTGTCTACCCGGTCATTGTTCGCCGTTTTCTTTGTTCTTTTCCATTTTTCCTTCAGGTTTTTCTTGCCTGGGATCGGGATCATTGAACTTCGGTCGAGGATCGTCTCAACTCGATGACTGTTTATAATTAGATGAACAAATTGAGGAGCGATTTTTTTGGGGTGGTTTGTTGGTTGAAAAAAGAGTCAAAGAGCAAATAGCATTTTGAAAATAGGTCAACCATAATCAATAAAAAGTATTTCATTTTAAGGCAAAGAATTTTAGCAAAACAATACACTTTACACAAAAATTTATCAAAAAAATGTATTAATTTATGTGTATGCAAAAGTGATGAGTATCGTAGCTTCTAAGTTTTAAGCTGATCAAAACTTTCATTTTATCGAAGTTGTGACAAAAAATGTAAAAACTATTCTTACAAAATTTCAATTGTATATTTTATTGCACCTTTTTTTTATTTCCAGAAATTTTTCAACAGCGAGGCCTTTAACTAAATTTATTCGTTCCCAGGACTATTGATCCTGCCCTCATCGAAAAGTCGACTCCCGAATCGTAAGCATCCGCGGATCCTGCATAAAATCCGACATGCCGCCGGACGCGTGTTACCCAGTGATTATAAATTTTTCGGTGGCGGAACTTCTTGAATTGAATTTGCCTCGACCCCAATTAAGGCAATCAAGACCGGGTTTTCGGAGGGATAGGGATCCTTTACCCGCAGAATTCACAAATTACACAACAGCTTGTTCGAGTTTTTAATTGAACGTAATTGGGGGTTGATCCTGCTCGGAGGCATTTGCTACAGAGTTTTCCCATGGCAACCGCTGCAGCTAGAAGAAATCGAGCATTGAACCCTTTCCACAAAAAAGAAAAGGCGAGGAGAATGGAGAGCAGAGAAAGAGGAGTCGGGATGCACTTGGTTGCCACTTGGCGGACTCGAACTCCACATGCACCCATTTCCATTCCCATTCACATGCACTTTTTGCCGCCTGCTCCCCCCTCGTTTCCCCGATTCCCCACTTTCCTATTTCCCCATTTTCCCCACCCATCGGGAGTTTCTATCCATTCCGTTCCAAGCGACTGCTAATGGATTCTACGCGGCGCTCTTCTGCCTTCTCCTTGCTTTATCACTTGTCCACTTCACCTCCACCACTCTCCCCTCGTCCTAGACATCCACAATAATTTACACTAAGAGAAAAGGTCATATACTCGATCCTGATTGCAGTTCCCATCAAAATATATGTATTTACTTACAAAAAGAAAGAAACCTCATGAAATAGTAAACAAATTCTTTTAAAAACATTAACTATATAAATATCGAAAAATCACAAAATAGTTTATGGTTTTAAGATTCATTATATCAATACTTGTAAGTTCTATTTTTAAAGGCCTTCTACGATTTCTGTTTTTTTTTTTCTTTTTCCAACTTTAAAATAATTTAATTTGTAAGTTAATTTTTAAAATTTTTTCAAATGCATTCCTCAACTCCTGGCACTGACTTCCATTCCGTGGTGAGGCGAATGCACTTTGCCAGCGCCAAAGGTTTGTTTTTCTTCTGTGTTTTCCTTCAGCTCATTTGCCCCTTGGCCTATCGCACGTTTTTCTCCTGCTTTTCCCGTGGAGTCCGAGGAAAAACTATGCCTCTTCTGCGCCTCCTTCTCCGCGCCGGCATTTCCTTCTGCCTTCCACATTGTATTATTTACGCTCGTCGCCCGGTTTTTGTGATAAGCCTCTGCGGGTCTTCCGCCCCTCGGCTTTCTGGGAGGATTTTAAAGTCATCGCCGGACAATGTCCCAGACTTGCGGCCCTCGGGCTTCGCCTCCCCAGCGCCCAGCTGATAAGAGACCTCGGGCCTGGTCAACGCCCCCAGAAAAAAGACCCACTGATAGCAGGCTCATTATTTTAGGTCCTAAATATCGAACGATAAGTCCAGTATTTATTTTTTTTATGATTTTATCGTGTCATATCAGTGAATCGAAAGCGAGTCATGCCAGGATGTGTGGCTACAGCAACTACACTTTTGACCTTAGACACTGGGGGAATAAACTAAATTTGTTTTTAAGTAACATTTGTTATTGTAGGTTTTCTTGTTTTAAATTTATTTTCTATTTCTTAAAGCAATTCTTAAAAAATGTTTTCTTACAAGTTGATATCTCGTAAAATATAATCTCATCATCCCTTGAACAAAGTTAATCATGTTATTTTTCAGTGCAGATACACTCACATAACTCCTGGCAGCGATAAGAACGGTGATGTGTGGTGTGTCATGTCCCAGGACGCTTATCGAGTGTTGATTTGCCTTATCGATCCGGCTAATCGTGAACAGGACTCATTCCCATCCTCCCTCCTCCCTCCTTCTCTTCGCGATAAGGAGGCAATAACATCGGGTATCGATTTCCGAGTTTTTCCCTTCGTTTCGCGTGTTTTTTTCCACACATATGACTGGGTACTATCGAATCAGAGCTGGGTTTACCTTGGCCAAGTGTTACCTTGCCTTTACCAAAACGTGAGCGTTGGCAAACTGCTCCAATTATTTGCGAAATTCGCTTCGCTCGATTTTCGGATGGCCAACATGTATGTCTCATGTGGTGGAAAAGCTTGAATCGCTGCTGTTGCAACATTCGCGGCATTTCTTGCTAACTCAGTAAACGTGAAGCGACGAAGGCAAGAACAGGCCCCCAAAGAATATACCCCATAGCTTGGATGTGTGCCCAAGAGCCCCGCAGGTAATTAGGTCATCGGTTGTGCTTGTGACAATTTCACGAAACGCACAAGAAACCAACTGCGACAGCAGAAAACTTGGATGGAAAAATTACAATGCACTTTGGCACTTTCTTCTCCCCTTCTTTCTCTCGAATAAGAACTAAAGTTGGTAAAGAAAAGCCTTTTCTATCTGACTCATTTATGATAGAAGATGTATAATACACAGACTCAGTGGGATGGAGAAAACCCAGTTGGGAGTCAACTGGTCTTTGCCTCCCTGAGTTGTCGGTCCGTAGGGAAGTTTATCGCAGTCTTCTCCACCGCCCTCGTCGAAGCCCTCCAAAACGGTTCCGCCATCGCCCTCCATATTGTCATCGTAGGCCTCACCATCATCCTTGGGCAGCAGGACAAAGTTCGGAGGCCCCAGCAATTCACCATACCTGCTCACCCTCAAATCGGACTGGACGCTCAAGGCAACTTGGTGGTGAGAGGGCTCAGGAATCGCTTGAGCTACAACTAAGCCAAGAATCTAGACTTACGGATGGTTAAAGCCTATAGGGTAAAAAAGGCCAAATCAACTTACAATCAGCAGGCATCTTACGACCAAACGTACTCCCTTCAATTCCATCGACCCCGACATTAATTTTGTTGGCCCTTCCAATATTTTGACAGATGGAAAAGTACAGTTGACTCAAGTAAATGAAATATACAGATAAAAACTATTTACCATTCCAAGTTTCTAAAACCCATTAGCAACACTATTTTTCCGAGATAAGTGCCATTTAATATTTTCCTCATTTGGTAAAATACAGCGAGCCCTAAAAGTCATCGCCGAACTCATCTTCGTCATCCTCGATCTGCCCGCCCGCCGCCTGCTTCTTGTGGTAGTACTTCCGGTAGCCAATCTGGTGCAGTGGATACTGCGGAATCATGTACTCCATCCGCTGGTTCCGGCGCAGGCTGCACTCCTGGAACTCGCGCCAATCCGTGTAGTTGACCGTGTGGCACTCCTCCGATCTGCCATAGACATACAGCTCGCGACGCAGATCCATCCAGATGGTGCGGTGGTCGAAGGAGACGTTGTGAATCATCCGGTTGAGCCAGAAGAAGACCTTGGGGTAGTTGTAGATGGTGGATCTGCCCAGGCACACGGTGCTCATCGGTGCGCGATGGGGAAGGTAAGCGTGAGCCAACCCACTTTCCTCTTCGACGCGGTAGCGAACCCTGCCGTGCTTTTCGGCATCCCAGCCCTTCGTGAATCGCGGGTCCATGAACGGTCTGCCATATGTCACTCCCCACGGATTGTACACCCAGTTTCCATGTCGATCGGTCTGCATGTTGGGCACTTGGACAGTTAGTTCCGTGACCTCATAGCCCTCGAATTTTCCGTCGCCTGTTTTTTTCCGCAATCCTTTTCCTCGGTAGCGAGGTCGTTTTCCTTTGCGCTGATCTGCAGCGGCTTTTAGAGATGAAAATTACATTATAGCTTAACTTATTTTCAAAACTCTTTAAAATATTATGAACCGACAAAGCTGTAACGTCCTTATTTTTGGCAAATACCCTTACTATTGTTTAATATTCGGCAATAAATCTAAGCAATTCTTACCTGCTTCAGTCCCTTCGCTTTCCTTTCCCTTTAAGCTTTCATCAACTTCAGTCGCTTCTTTTTCTTCCGACTTTTTCCAAAAGTTAGGGAACTTTCTCTTGGCAGGTAGGCGGGGAAAATCCTTTAGGGTTGGACTAACGGTACCCAAAACCCTCGAAGTCGAAATTGACCCGGGGTTACCGAAAAGTCGGAGGCCCAATCCGGACTTCGGCTTGGATTTCACTACCAATTTCTTAGCCAAGTTATATAAATCACTTTCGTGGACGGGCGGATCTGCCAGAGAGGTCGTCAACCTGTTCCATTTACCATGAGGTCGAGTACTAGCTATTTTGGTTGTATCTATTTTATCCGGAAGCTTCGTTGCCACCATTGGCATTAGTTTTCCAAAGAGTCCGAACTCCGCTACCAATTTTCTGTCCAACGCTGCAGAGGGATCTACCAAAGTCTGGTTTCGTTGATTTTCCGATAAAACAATAGGCACGCTTTTCTGCACGGGCAAGGTCTTTGGAAGAAAGCGGATTTAGCCAAAGAAAATAAAGAGTAAGGTCCCGACTTACATTGATTAGGCAACAAAGGCCCAGAATAACCAGCAAATTTAGATTCAACATTTTCCACAACAGCTAATAAAAATAAGCGATTTTAGGAAATCACTTTTAAAACACTGTGAACGAAAAGTCAAGGAGTGCTTTTATCGAATGAATACAAGTAAAGTATGCATCCCCTTTTCAAAATGTCCAGAGTAAATTTAATTATTATCCATTTTAAAGTTTTACCCACCATAAGTTCGAGCTGATGACCCACATATAGTTTTCCACATAATATTACAAGGCGTTTATTAAGGAGTTCACAAAATATGGCTAAAAAATAAATAAAACTACAGTTGATGCTTGGGATACTTGTAAAGCACGTACTCCATCCGCTGGTGGCGTCTGAGATTGCATTCCTGGAACGGCAGCCACTCGGTGAGGTTCATCGTGCGGCACTCCTCCGACCTGCCCAGCTTGAAGATGTTCAGGCGGTAACCCATCCAAATAGCCCGTTTCACGTGGGGCGATCGATACCGCTTGCCCGTCAAATACTTCATGATCCTGGGCACATTGTAGACGGTCGAGCGGCCCAGACAGACGGTGCTTATGCCCTCGTCATCGGGATAGTAGTCCATGCCGGGGTCCGAGTCGATATGCAGGCGGGGCATTCGGCTCTGGTGGTTCACATGGAAGCGGGTGTCCTGCCACACTTTGCCGAAGGTGGCGCCCCAGGGATTGTAGACCCACTGGCCGAACTTGTCCGTTTTGCGAATGGAAATGGTCAGCTCCGTTGGACGCACGAAGGCTCCCGTAGTTGCCTCTGCCTGTCTAGCATCACCTGCCTCGCCCGCCTCATCGTCTTCACCTTCGGCCCGAAATTTAGCCATTTGCGTCGGTTTCCTGGTCGTCTTATCCTTGAGCCGCCTCGGATTCTTCGTTCTCGATCGCCGCTTGGCTGGGTTGCCATAGCCATCGTTGACCGGAAATAAGCGGAGACCAGGTGCCAATCCACCCAGAAATCTCTTCACGCGGGATCTATCCCTATTGGGAGTGGGAGCTAGAACCTCGTAAAGGGACGTTACTTGTTTCCACTCTTGGGACTCCCGGGTGGGCGTGGCTAAAGGGTTTCTAGAAGTTTCCTGTGCTTCCTGCGAAGGGATTTACGAGTAATTTAGGTACTGAACTTGAATTGTTACTACCATGGGTTTCATAGAATCGACCCCAATGCTAGTTGTTCTTTGGGCTGAGGCCGCCGATGGAATAGGAGTGGCATCGAGACTTAGGATCTTTTTAGGATAAGGTTTAGTATCTAAAAAGTTTGCATTCATTTCTTCCCAGACTTACTCCAATCGAACAACAAATACAAAAGATAATGGCCAAACTTGTTTGAAACATCCTGCTAATTTATACAGAAAATTTTTAAGACTCCAAATTTATTTTATTTTTTAGCTTTGTACAGGGATGAGATTGAAAAAGCAAAGCTAAGCTGAAATGTGCCTAAATATTTTGGACAATCTCGCATCGGACAACTACCAACTGGTTTGATACATGGGTATAATTCGAAATAGAATGGCTGTAAGGGTTGTGTGATTGGCCCGACCCCGGGTCGCAATACTATCCAGTTTGTTGTAATTGACTCTTTGCCTCGACTTTGAGTGGCCAGCGCTGCGGAGAAAGATAAAATGCTCGAGCGAGAGCTGCCAAAAGTAACTGGAACTGGGTAACCGACTCACACACACTCGCATATCGCACACACACCGACTGTTGCTGGCAAGTCAGCCACTTGGCCAACACTCACACTTGGCCACTTGGCTAAAATGAGCGGCTCAAGGTCATCACGCCACACAAAAAGAAACAAAAACGTAGACGGAGACGGAGATGGAGAAAAATGCTGCAAATCTCTTGGCGTCTAACTGCAGCCAAAGTCGCACTTGCAGTCGTCGCTCGATGGCCTCGAATCTCGAATCTTGAATCTTGAATCCGCTGCAGCAGCGACAACAAACATAAAAAGCAACAAGCTCCCAGCGGGGCAACAACAAAAGCGGGCTTACGAAATCACGAGCCATTTGAATTGAATGAGCCACGCGGATCGTGGGTTTCTCGGGGGGAGGTTGCGAAGTAGGGAGTGGTGGCCAAGCAAGGCTCATACACGGAGAGAAACACAGGGAAACAGTCCATCACTGTGGAACCAGATTCATCATAGGTACATCAAGGAGGTGCGATTCAATATTAGTACCTCTATTATTTGTAGCCTATTCTAAAATAAGAATATTTTGGTAACATGTAGCCAAACTGGTTTAGAAAGAGAGTTTCTTAAATTTAAGATTATTTTCTAATGGATTACAAAATGGATACTACAAATGGTAGTAAAAATCACATTTTTTGGTACCTATATTATTTGAGCCTACTCTAAAATAAGGATATTTTTGTAAAATGTAGCTAAGCTGGTTTAAAAAGATAGTTTTTTAAATTTAAGATTATTTTCTAATGGACTACAAAATAAATACTACAAATGGTAGTAAACATCACATTTTTTGTTACCTATATTATTTGTAGCCTATTCTAAAATAAGAATATTTTGGTAAAATGTAGTTAAACTGGTTTAAAAGGAGAGTTTTTTAAATTTAAGATTAGTTTCTAATGGATTACAAAATAAATACTACAAATGGTAGTAAACATCACATTTTTTGTTACCTATATTATTTGTAGCCTATTCTAAAATAAGGATATTTTGGTAAAATGTAGCCAAACTGGTTTAGAAAGAGAGTTTTTTAAATTTAGGATTAGTTTCAAATGGATTACAAAATGGATAGGTAATACAAATGTTAGTAAAAATCATACTCTAAAATAATGATATTTTGGTGAAATGTAGCTTAACTGGCTTAAAAAGATAGTTTTTTAAATTTAAGATTTGTTTTAATATTTTTAATTTAAGTATATATTTAATATATTTTAATATTTGCAAAATAATGACAATTTTCCCTCTGCATTAGATGGAGTTATAAAGTCACAAGCCCTCTCACACTCGCACACTTCTAAACAGAAACAGGCACACATACTCGAGCATCGAAAGCTCGGCGCTTGAAAAATTCACACAGTGTTTCAATTGCACTTCACAAGGGAACCTCTGTCAGATACACAGATATATATCTCTCGATCGTTACAAAATTGTAAGTCTTCCCATCTCCCATCTCCGATCTCCCGTCTCCCTCGCCACTGTCTATCCACTGTCTCTCTCCCTTTTCGCCCAGTCGGTAGTCCTACATACAAATCGATGGAATGCTAGTCGAACACTGATCAAATAAACCGCAAAACTGCCCATGCCCAAAGCCAGCTAAGATCATCAGCAGGCATCAACAGCATCATCAACAACATCAACATCATCAGCAGCGGGTAGAGAAACAACCGAAACTGAGATGAAAGATAGGAACTTCGAATACTCTAAAGACTTACATTATGAAAACAAAAATAATTAAAATATTTCAGGATTTAGGATTACCAACATTAAGTTCCAATAAAGTTTTTTTTGTTTTTTATTTAAATAGTAGTTGTTAAAAGAGGTAAATATTTCATATCTCAAGCAATAATATTTTCATTTTGGTTTAATTTTAATATTGTTCATAATGACCGTGTATTTATTAGTGAATGATTTCCATTCACCCCTTTAATACTGTTAACAGATCATAACATTAAATCAATTCCAATCCGAAACCTTCAAGTACCCAAATGGTTTTAATGATGTCGTCCTAACCCTGTAATTACTACCTTGTAGAGGCTGGCGAATAATGATACCCTTTGGCGAGGGTATGGCAACTTTGTCGCTTTGTGGGCGGCATCAAAGTTGCCGTTCACTTGCAATTGCGATCCGATGGTGGGCGGCGTGGAGCGGCTCCTCTGGACTCGGTAGATTCAGTAGATTCAGTGGATGGTGGATGTGGAGGGTGGATGTTGATGGCGACTTGGCGAGTTGGTCGACTGTTGGCGTGCCTCGGTGGCATTTGGTGTCATTCGAAGTTAATTGCTGGGAACGACAGCGCCAGAGGCCGCCGTACCTCGCTTTTGGCTCTGTGGCCCGGATTTGTGTCAACTCTTAAGGTTAACCTCGTAATTATGATTGTTGCTGCTGGTGTCTTCGGTTCTCCTCAGTTCTCAGTTCTCGGCTCTCGACGGTTCCCGCGATTTGAACGGATAAGAGGTAGTCAGATATGGTATGGGGTATTTATATGCTCAATAATTTGAAATTGTTTTATTTTTAAATAGTCAGCTTCTAATTAATTTATCATTTTCTTTTTTTTTAATAATAAAAACAGTTTCACTTGAAAGTTTTGAACGGTATATAGGTACCGAAAAAAGAATGAAGATGCTGCCGCGAAGAAAACCTTTTCTATCTTCCTACGTTTCCTATTTCTTCATCTTTTCCCCCTCTTCTCCCATAGGCACCCTTTTTCGAGTCAGCTTTTCTTTGGGGTCCCAAGCCCGCTGGCGTTCCTCGTTTGGCGGCTCTGGAGTGTGAGAAAATGGGAAAACCAAGGCAGCTACAGCTACAGATGCATAGATACTCAGATTCCGACAGAGACGGAATGCTCGCGCTGTCCCGCTCCATAAGTGGTTCCGTCTGGGTCCGGGTCCCGTTAAAGCTGGAATGGAAAAAAGGGCACAGCCAACTCAGATACATTTGTAGCTGCAGAGTTAGGATCCCTAGGAAAGAGCCAATCTGGAAATCCGAGTAATGGATTTCGAAACAACATCCAACTCAGCTTTCGTTTCGATTATGAAATCCAAACCGAAAGAGTGGGCAGAAGAAAAGGTTTCCTTCTTGGCGCTGGAAGATTTCCCTGGGAAGACTGACGACTGAAGACTGGCTGGCGAGGAATTCAGGTCAAGCGGGCTTAGGAATTTCTGTGTGGAGAATCTCGGGGAGAATCCCTGGCCTGGTAATCCCAAAATAAATACATGTATACAAATGCGACTCTTAGCAGGCGAGAAAGGCAGTGCTTAATTATTCAAATGTTATGCGCAATTTAAGTCTTTGCTAGTGTGTGGTTTATGTTTTTGTTTTTTTGTCCGTATTATTCAACTGCCATTCGATTTCGTTTCGTGGCGACTCCTTGATGGGCAAGTTGGCCAAGTGGAAAACCAGTTTTAGAATCGGCCAAAACCCAAATAGCAGCCACCATCATCGGTATTAGAGAATCCCACGCAGAACGCGTTTCACTCACTCACTCAGCTTTTGGCTAACGAAGTGCACGACTTTGGTCTAATAAAAATAAAAACAAAACACACTCGCCTATGGAAAGACGCACACATGGGCAGTGGAAAACTCCCCACGCACAGGCATCTTTGAAGGTTGAAAAGCCCAGAGAATACACGGGAAAATAATTTGGAAATTAACCCCGATTTTAGGACATAAAAGGGTTATATTAACTATCAATAATAGTTAATTAATTAATTAATCAAGCCATGATTTTCTATTAATTATGTATATCTATGGACTCAATAATATTAAAACCCATAGAGCCAGGTTTTTTTCTCAGTGCTCAAGAGCGTAAAACAGACTCGCCCTCGCTCTTTAGAGAGTTTCTTAATTAAAAGCAAATTTCATCTCAAATAATGCCGCTAAGGCAGCAACAACAATTAAGCAATTAATTTATTTCAGCTGTGTGGCACTTTGAATAGCGGGAAAAAATCCAAGCCAAGTAGTATAGTAAATGGCCTGGCAGGCGGCCAGATCGGATCAAACCTGTTAAATCGCAGAACAGAACTCCGGGCAGTTCCCCCTTGAGAGAGGGCTTAGCCAAGCGAGTATACGAGATACTTGTACACTTGCCGTGTTTCACAAGGCAATGCAAATTATCTGGTTAAAGTGCAGGGTTTAACGAAAAGTGGTGGGGGTTCGGCTTCTAGGCAACCGAGGGATGCATTTGGATCGCCCTGCTGAATCATTTCGAGGGTGATTCATGCCGAGAACAAACGTAATTGTCTATGGTTTCCAACGAAATTAGTTTCCGAACTAATGTGAGCTTGCGAAACAATAAATAGGCGTGCAAGGAAAGATCAATGAAAGGGTTATACAAGGCAATTTTACGCTAATTGTATTACTATATTCTACAATATTAAATCGTTTTTCCACCAATATCATGGCATTTATAAATTTACCAATTTTATACCTACATTGTATTATACCTATATTGTTATTAACGAATTATTTAAAACTCAAACAAATAGCACTGAAAACCTCCGAGGGACTAACTGCTTGTACTTGAATGAAGCGATTAAGGCTGTCTTTATCTGCCGCATAAACAGCAAAGTAGAGATAATGGCCTCCATAGACACGTCTTATCTGCCACCCAAAGTCTGACGGTCCCTCAATCCTTTCCCATTATCAGCGGTTGCAAAGTCAAAGAACTCGTTGGGCCAGAGCGATATGCCACCTAGATAATCTCGGGTGCTGGGAATTGTTCCCGTTTCCCAAAAACACACTTTGATTGACGATCTTTCCCATGCATGCCTAATGATCCTTCAAATGGCCGCTAATAACCAAGCCAGCCCCTTTGGGATTGCTTGGGGTAACGCCCTCCGCTCGGGGGTTACCCAAAGTGCGACCCACTCCGAACGGTCGAGATCCCAAGATCTCCTACAGACAGTTGACCAGTGGGTTACGTGTGCCATGGTGCACGTGGAAAAATCTTGATATCTTGAGATTGTGAACTAAGAATATGATAAAATATTATTCAATTCCTTTGGGATCTTCCGTAACATTCTTAGTGTACACGTGGAAAAAAGAGATCATGTCATCACAAATATCTTGAGATTGTGAACTAAGAATGTGATATTATATTTTTCAATACCATTGGGATCTTCTGTAGCATTATTTTTCTCAGTGCAGGGTAACCCCAGCAACAATTATTCAACTTTAAGTCGGGGCAGTGGGGAAAATATCAAATCATTTCGGTTTCAGTTAGAAGCGCGCGCAAGCATTCTCTCGAAAAGGGGGCGGCGGTGGGCGGGGCAGTCAGGGGGAGGTTGGCTGAGCGAAGCAGAGAGTCGAGCATACGCGGCACGCTTTTCCGATCAAACCAGTTTGCCGTAATAGCTGGCATTTGGGATTAGTTACTGCCGATATATATTGCTGGCACTTGGAATGCGCCCGGCTAGAAATTCCCTCGACCACGCCCCCTCCCACCGCCCACTCCGCATGGAGAGTTGACTATTTTTAGCGGGACGGCAGAACTTTATTAAAATGCAATCAATTTGCAAGTGCGGCGCTGAGAAAATAACAAACAAATAGCCACCCACTCTCTTTCGCTCTCTCCCCCACTCCCCCTCTCTTTGGGGGGCGGAAGAAAGAGAGAGCGGAGAGATGGCATTTATGCTGAGCACGCAGAGAGCAGAAGATGGGGCTGCAGAAGAAGAAGCCGCTGCGTCGGCAGAATGAAAACGAGGACGACCAAACTGCATTGTTGTCATATTTCGTAATACGCTGACACTGCAGACAAGAAGGGGGTGGTGGGTGGCAGGTCACAGCGGTTAGAGAGAGAGGGAGAGCAGAGGAGACTGGAGATTTCAACACAAGCTTATCAACGGGAGAACGCGCGAGAGAGAGAGCATAAGGGCAGAGCGCCAACGCAGCGGCGAAATGGAAATGTCAAGTTGGGGCTGCTCTCTCTCTCTCGCTGCCGGCGGCGACTGCGCTGCTCTCTTAACCATTTGGAGCCCCATTCAAACGTTCGCTTCTTGCCATTCCATTTCATCCGCTCATCCGTCCACATCCACTTGCGTTTTTTGCGCCCTGCGAGAGGGAGAGCAATGTGAAACGGGAGCAGCGAAAAAAATATACCGCCCACTACCACTACCAATATTCCATATTCCATGCCGTATTCCCAGCTCAGTTCGAATCGTGTGATCAGAGCTTTCGGTAAGGCTTCGGCTCGGCTTCGTGTATCCACCTTCGGCACTCGGCTCTCTCTCTCTTCTTGGGGGCTCAGGGACAACAAATGCGGTAAAATGGCTTCTGCGTCGACGTCGACATCCCTGCCGTTTCAGTTCTGATTGGAGGTTCGTGCGCGGCGTTTCCTCAGCTGTTTTCCGTTGCCTTTTGCCTTTTTGCATTCCTCCTTTGCCTCCGTGTTCGCCTCGATTGCCAATTACGTGTAACCAACAACAATAACAACAAGAGCAACAGAAGAAACTGAAACAACAACAAGTGCTCTCGAGTGTTGCAAGCCTTCTTCCGTCGAAGAAACCGCAAAACGGATTACCAAGAATCTTCGTAGAATTGGTAAGTGCTCAGATTTTCCACGGAACCCAGTTCGAAAAGTCAAGCATTAAACTTGCAGTTCAAATTTGAGAATTCCCATTTATTCAGGACGACGAATCCCAGAAGGGAAATAAACGTTTTCTGTAGAATTGTAGAAGGATTCTGAGACTTTATTATTCATAGCTTTGGAATTGGGTTTCTAATTATTAAAAGATCACAAGAGGAATTTCGTCAAGCGAGAAAACCCCAAAATTACATTCACACAAGACAAAGCTACTTAGAAATGCTCATCGTTTTTATTCCGAAGAATTTCGATAAGGATTTTAATGACCACTGGGGGGGTCATTGAAGGAGTCGTAAACATCTAGATGACTAACCCGCCGACCGAAAGCTTCGAACTACAGATTTAGAGGCGACTAAGCTTCAATAAAATAACCCTATGGTCGTGCCCCGCAGATACATTTTCTTCTAACAATCTCCCGATCGCACAAGCTCAGTATTTGTACCAACACTCGCAAAGGCCTACGCCTACCCAGTCGGAAGTTTGGGAGTGGTCGGTTTCCGGAATGCATCCGGCTCGCATCTTTGTCCACAGTAAAAATGCGATACAATGTTGGACAGCATCCAGAATGCATTCTAGATGCAACCCAAGTCATCACTCCCCTAAAGGTTCTTTTGGAAGGCAAAATGGGAGCGCTCCGTGCAATCGTAGCTTCTCGTACGTCGCAGCCGAACCCTTGCCGAAACCCGAACGCTTGCCGATCGTTCGTTTTTTTTTCAATCGGTGCAATTATAGCATCCATCGGAATGCATCCGGAGTGCATCCATTGGAAAGGAAAATATGAAATAATAAACTTTGAAACGGTACTTTTGAAAAAAACAAATGAGGAGAACAAAAGAGACATTGCAAGAACGCGCGCGGTTTTTCGTTTCTTATGCATTTCTTGTCACTTGCTTTTGGAATTTGACAAGTTAAGTGTAATTGATGTTTCGGTTAAACCAATTTTAATCGTTTTATTTGTTTATAGTTCTTGAAAAACAAACCATTGTGCTTTTTGTGCCAAGTAAGTATAGTGCGGTGATAAGTGGAAATAATAAATATAAAAAATAATAATTCTTAACGAGGTTAAATAGCCATAACCAAATAAAAGTGTATTTAATTTTTTTAACCAAACAAAAATAATTGGGTGTGTGTTTAATAAACAGAGTGCTTTTAAAATAATTCTTATTCAGCCACTGCATCGCGTTGTTTAAGGATTTTACCTATGCACAGTGTTTGTACATACAGTGAACCCCACGCATAGTTTTTTTTTTCTATCATGAAACTGCTCTAAAATCATAAAAAAAAAAAGAAACACAATTTTTTTGGCTCCTTTTTCAATTTTAGTGTTATTAATAGCCACCATATTTAAAACACACGTGTAAAAAATCAATTAAAATCAATTATGAGTTGTGTTTTAAATATGGAGGTTTTTTGTTTTTGTTAAAATATTTAGAGCTGTCAGCGGCAGGCTTAAATTATTTTATATGTTATTAATAAATAACATTTTAATGTTTAAATAAAGCAGATTTATGATAGAAAAAAACGGGTGTCCGATTATGCGTGGGGTTCACTGTACCTGCAGTGTGCCGAATAAGAATTTTTCACAACATTGTACTAACTAATTATTGTTTTTATTCTTTGCATGACCTCATGGACGGATTTTTGACAACGCACACTGGGCCAGCCGATCAGATTTTTGGCCAAAAATACGTTTTTCTTTTTTAAGAAAATGACCAAATTGAGTTTGGATTACGTTTTATAATACATTAAACTAATTTATGCCAAAGTTTCAAAGAATTCGGGCAAGTAGGTTTCTTTTACCATATTTTCAAAGTGGAAAATTCATCAAATATTGATGGAAATGAAAAAAAATCTTGAAGTTAAAGACGCTGATGTAGCTGTTCGACTCTTCACAAAACTTGTAGATGTGATTACTTTCAACCAATAAAAAATATAATATGGGTCGTATGTCTTACTTGTTTCCTAAAACAAATGTATTTGTTGATTCTTACGGTTTTTTTTTAGCAAATGAGTACTTTGCTTTTCAAGTGCCTTTGAGTGCCATCCACAAATTAGTTTATTTCTTAAAAAAAAAATTCGTTGATCAATTTACTAAAAGCGTAGCCCACCGACTCGATGCGGTTTTGCCTTAGTTTTCGGTAATTTAAGTTTTAATTGAAGGCTTAACTCGAAGTCAAGCTATTTTGAAGAGCTTAGCTAAGAGAGCCCAAAAGTATGCCGTACTTTTTTTCTTTAGGTTTTAGTGAACATTTTGCGCGAAAAAATTTGATTTTAGTGTGACTAACATCTAAAATCTACTTTTTACGTACACTAATCGATTATGGTATTTTCGAAATCTATATCTATCTATTTAATCAGGACTATGCAAATAAAAATGTAGCATACTTTTGTGATGACTTCAAAATATGTCAAATTAACATTAAACAATTTAAAAAACAATTTTTTTAAAACCATTTTTTTTAATAATTTGATTATATAAAACTTAAGAGATAACAAGAAAAAAAAAATAGAAAATTTTTTTAAATCGATTGTTTGATAAACGTTGATGTGGGAGTCTCCGAAAGTTGCAGTTTTAAACGGTTCATAAATCTTTAACGACATAATATTTTTTAGTGATGTTAATTTTTTTTAGTTTGTTTTATCTCATACTTTATTGTTTTCGAAAATGGAAGAAGTGCGTCTTCTAGTTATTTTTTTAAAAATAAAAAACCGAAAAGTACGCAAAATTTTCCGACTTTGGAAATCATATAAAATTCCAAGAAATTTTACTTTTAGTTCGTTGAAAAGTTCAATCTTTTAAGAAAAAAACGCAAAAAACTGCATCCTTCTAACTGTCCTAGGAAAGAAATTACAGATTTTTGGCCAAAAAATTAACTTTCTGGCCCAGTGTGCAACGGAAGAACAACAGCATCAACAACTGTAAGTATTAAATTTAATTTTAGTTTTTGTGTAACAAAAGTGCCGTTTTTGTTTCAATTGTAGGCAAAAGGAAGGGTTCTCCACATTTGCTGCGTTGAACGAAGCTCTGTACGGTAAGTGTTAAAAATTGTTGATGTTAATTTGGCAATTTCGTCTAACAAAATTTTAAAACACTATATTTTGCAGAATCCCAGAAGAGGGAAGGGTATAGGCAGGAGGACTTTGTTAAAGACCTGCGAACAGCCTTTACTCGGCAAAAAAACCGGGTGTATAAGGAGTCTACACGCAGAAAGGCGACGACCAGTGCAGACAAAGGACCGGACAAGGACAACGAGATGGAAGACGATACTGAGGATGATGGGAAAGCAGTAGCAGTGTAATTGTATTCATTTTTTTTATTAATTAATTTAAATTACAAAATAAAATTAAATAAAGAAATGTGAAATTTAAAAAAATCAAGTAGACCAATTTTTTTCACTCGTGAAAGCCGCATTTTAAAGCACTCCAAAAGATGCGATCCAGAACGCATCTTTTGGAATGCATCCAGAAGCACATCAAAGATGCGATCCAGAACGCATCTTTTGGAACGCATCCAAAAGCATTCCAAAAGATGCGTTCTGGATCGCATCTTTTGGAAGGGAAAAATGGAAACCAATCCCGAACGTTTCCCGAAGTTGAAACCCATGGCCGATGCATGAAAAGGGAGCGCCCCAGGAGCGCTCCAGGAGCGCTTCATCGGATAGCACCCATTTTGTCCCGCTTTGCTGTAAAAAGGAAGCGAGAAGTTCATCGATCGGGCATGCATGCATCGGTGCTTTGGATGCTATCCATCATCCCTTCTGGATGCGTTCCACTTCCGACTGGGTATTGGAAAGACACTGTTACACAGATAATGCTACAGATACAGAGCACAGATACAGATGCACACATACCGTATACGGCACATGGGGAGTAATGCCGCCGCACTAGATACCAGATACTAGATACATAGATACGTCCGCCGCTTATTTGTCGGTCGTGCTTCAGTGATCTCTGTCATTTGCAGTCGCCCATTTCCTTTTTTTATTCCCCACTTCCACATCCAGTCCCCAGTCGCTAGTAGTTCGTCGCACCCCTTTCGATCAGCCTTCCAGTTCCAGTTCCATTTCCATTTCCAGTGCCTTCTGCAGGCTTCCACAGGCTGGAACACATGCGATGGCCTCAGAGATTTTCTGAATGAACCGATGAAGTGAATGTGTGAATGAGTGAGTGAACGACAGACTGAATGAATGAGTGAATGTACGCAACATATTTGCACGGAGGGAAAACAAATTGTATTCCAAAATTGATTTTAAAATTTTCAAATATTCAGAAAATTAAAAGGAAATTAGAATAATTATATACTTTCTTATTTCACAATAACAATAAATACATTCGTTAACAGGAAACTACGTTTCTCCCAGTGTATTTTGTGCAACATACCAATTCGTTGATCAACTTTCCTGGGGGTGGCTGCAAACCTGACAACCCTGGCCGAGCGGCAACTCTGCTCATGCACCTGTGCGCCCTGCCAAGCCACAAATTCAATTATGCAAATCGAGATCACAGCCCAAAACCCCAATCTCCGTCTCCGATCTGCATTTGTTTTGGTTTTTGGTTTGGGTGGGTTATTTGTTACTTCTGTCGGTTGTTGTTTTTAATTCGCCAGCTAACCCACTTCACACACTGGTGGCAACAACAAAATTCATGAATTACACTGTGCAGCATTTTTAGTGCTTTTTAAATTTACCTCGATGGATGCTATATTTTTGGATTCGTTACGAATTCCCAAAATAAACTGCGTTTTCCAAAAAGTTCCCCGACGCCAGGATTCTTAGCAAAAGGACCTCAAAGTTCGAAAAATGCTGAAATTGGCCAACTTTGCGGAGCTCTCAGAGGCAAATGGATGCCTGGTTTGATTCGATGTTAAAGTTTTTTAAAAGATACACCCTTTATCTTTTAAACCCCATACTTAAAAATTTTTTAAGATTTTTTTTAAGGCAGAAACAAATTCTAGAAA